ATTCTGACTTCGACCTTCACTTACTTGCTTTGTTCATCACGCGATGGGCTTAGGGAGGATGAGTTCAAGTTCTGGGCAAGGTTACAGGCAGAACTTTCTTTTTCATTAAAGAGCCAGCCCTATGTATAATACACTTAGTGGTTATCTCGATGCTGGCCTCGAAAACAGTTGCTGTTCTATCCAGTTAAAAAAATGCACCTGGCATGGTATTGAGATTGTGGGCATGTCTAGTCTCTGGCCTGCAAGGTCAGACAGCTAGGTTTGTCTTCATCGTTCTTCAAACGGGCTAAAGCAAACTAGAAAGCAACATTTTCTCTAGGAAGAACAGCAGAAAATTCCAAACAACAGTTTGTTGCAGAATGGGGGTTTTCCTTCTCAGAACCTTTAAAAATAACTACCTGCCCCTAAGGCAGTGCAGTCGTGTAGGGTCTGCCTGCGTGTGGTGCTCTTACGGCTGCCCTGGCCAGCTCAATAAATCCTTGTTTGCTTTTTTTAAATAAATTATCAGCCTCTGGTGGTCTTATTTTGAACCCAGGGTTCGACCCCACAACATTTTTACTTTTTCATTTTAAAAATATGAACTCTTATAAAATTTAGAAAACACATTTTAAAACAAGTGGGAATAAAAAAACAAAAACTCACCTGTGATTTCTTCATTTTCTGTTCTTAGTGGAGGAGGCAGTGCTAAGAAAGAAGGAAGAAGGAAGTCAGGAGAACTTGACCTGCTTTGCAGTTCCTGGATTTACCTGCCTACACAGCTCCACACACAAGATACTTACATGTCCACGTGTGGCTCCAATATATGTTGAGCTTAGACATGATACTTTTCACTGAGTGAATGTAATATTTGTTTCTTACTGATTTATTACCAATTTAGGTTCTGTGACACAAAAATTAAAAACATAAGAAGATGAGTTTAACAGAAAACAGTAATCTAAAGAAGGAAACACCATGGATTTGTTAAAACTTATGTTGTAGAGGAAAAGAAACCCTCAAGCCATACTGTTTATCTATTTACCTGCTAACAACATTAATCCTTTGGGGTCAAATAATCCAAGAAACCTCTGAAAAAGGGGATGGGGATGTTTAAAGACCAGGTAAAATTTTTAATGTTCGTTCTAACCTGCTTACAATTTTCAAAAAGATCTTTCAATAAGGAACCAACCTTGACCTAACAGTTGACAAAACGAGCAGTAGCTCAGGGATCTGCAGACCTACCTTTTCATCTTGGCTCCGCCACTAACAAATTGCATGATCTGAGCCAGTCGCCTTCTCAGACTCACTTTTTAAGAAACCTTTCAAATAAGGTCCGACTAGATCATCCGGAACGGACTTGCCTGCATGAGGCCCGGAGAGTGGGAACATCAGCATCTTCTCTAGATGCCCCCATCCATCCATCCTGGGGCACTGCAGGCAGCTCAGCTCCGGGAAGAGCGGACCGGGAGCCAAGAACGAGAGGCTTAGGGGGTATTTAGGGAGGAGTTATGACAGAATTTCCTTAGCTGTGGCCGATGTGCCTTTCAGCCCTACGACAGGGCCACGAACTCTCCCAAGGGTGGCATTTCCTGTAGAGCCTGTGGCCCAGCGTCTGTGCCAGCCACAGCCCAGCCCCGCAGCTCCAGCTCACCCCTCTTCTTACATTTGTCCCAGGTCTTCCCGTCACACAGCCTTCCCGGCTTCAGGAGACCGTGTCAAGATTACCCATAACAAATCACAAGCGAACACATCATAAATACTAACTTGGGATCTGGAGAACGCTGGAGCCAGGACAGGGCCTCGGTCGCCAGCCAGTCCGGCCCTTTCCCGCTTCTGGTTCCCCAAGGAGTTAATTGGGGCAGGAGGCCCCGAGGGCCGACACGCAGCCAGTGTACACAGCTAACAAAACGCAGGTGCTCGGCACAACACGGCAAGTACTCCTGAAACCCGCGTTTTATGGAAGAAAAAGCAGGGTCTCTTGCGGGTTCAAGTACCGCCAACCGCGGGCCAGACGCGCCCGCCCTCTTCCTCGCAGGCCCGGCGCACACGCCTGGCACGCGCACCCGCCGCGCACGCGCACTCCTCCTTTCCAGCCCCGCCCCCCGCGCACCCGCTGCGCATGCGCACTCTCCCTTCCCCTCCGCCCCGCGGGCCCGGCGCTCCCGTCGCGCCCGCCGGCGGCCATACGAGGGCGCGGTGGCGCGGGGGCTGGACGCCGGGGAGGTCGCCAGCCCCGGAGCTCGCACCCCACGACAGCCCCGGCCCAGCTGGACGGAGAAGCCCCCCCGCCCCGCGTCCCTTCAGCCTCGGGTGCCGCAGACGCCAAGGGTTCCGCCGGGGTCGCAGGGCTCCTGCTCATCACCGGAGCCGCCGCACCCCAGAGCAGCGCGGGACCCCTCGGCCCTCGCTCCCCCCTCTGGGGCTCACCCGCAGCTCCCTCGCCGCGTGGACCCGCAGCCAGGGATGGTCCTCCCCCGGAGGGCCGGCGGCCGGGAGGAGGCGGGGATGCACATGCGCAGAGGGCGGCTCCGCGGCGGGCGGAGAGCGGGGCTCGGCCCCTGACAGCTGGGGCAGCGGGGGCTGGAGAAGAGGCCCTGCCCGGGGAGGCGATGCTCGCTCCTAGATGGAAACCTAAGCTGGTTGCGGGGCCCACCTAGCAGGGTTTCTATGGATACGCATCGCAGGTATCTACGCGGTAAAAGCACTTAGGATGGTGCCTGGCACGTAAATTGTTAAGAACATTTCTCAGGATCCCCTCCCCAGTAAGCTCCACGCCCGCTCCGCTGTGTCTCATCTCCAGATGCCCCCTGTGGGAAAAGTCCAGCCTTGTCTTCATCAAGTCCAGAACGAAGACCAGTGTTCAGAGATGCTGCCATATTAACCCTTAGGAGTACTTTGTAACCTGCGTGGTCTGACGTGGGCCCCCAGTGGCTGCTAGGCTCACATAGCTGCTATGAACAGCGATTTTCAACTGGTGTGCTGCAAGAATTTTTAAAACATACAACAATACCTGACTCTTTAGTTATTGACATTTAAATAAATATAAATATCAATAATTGTTTTAGGTTAGGTTCTCCAAGAGAGCAAACTTTTAGGGATTCTGTATCCCCAAACTGCCATGTGCTTGCAGGGGCCACGCCCATTCTCGCTAGTGCCCTCTCTTTCCAGGTGTGACTGACAGCGTCTTCCCTGGTCTCTTCAACTTTACTGGGCATGCATCTGTCTCCTCTTTGTGGATTCCTGAGGAGTGTGAAACTGCAGCTTCCTGGCTAAATTGCCCAAATAACATACATTGTGATAAAGCCAATTTATTAAAAAATTAAAGCACGCAAGTTTTTTTTTAAAAAAATTATTATTTATTTATTTATTTATTTATTTATTTATTTATTTATTTTAGCACGCAAGTCTATTAAAGAGGCAAGGCAAGCAAATCTATCATTGGCATAATACGCTGCTGCTGTGCTCTCTGCTAATACATTTTTATTGATTTAAGAGAGGAAGAGAGAGGTAGAGAGAGAGGGAAAAACATCAATGATGAGAATGATTGATTGGCTGCCTCCTGCACACCCCCTTTTGGGGATCAAGCCTCCAACTCAGGTGCCCTGACAGAGAATTGAATCATGACTTCCTGCTTCATGGGTCTATGCTCAACCACTGAGCAACACTGGCTGGGCCAGGCTTTATTCTTTTTGTTGTTGTTGTTAATATCCAAGGATATTTTTCCATTGATTTTTTAGAGAGAGTGTTAGGGAGATGGAGAAACAGAGAGAATCATTGATGTGAAAGAGATTGGTTGCCTCACATACCAGTCCCAACTGGGAGTGAGGGGTAGAGTTGGAGGGGGTGGGCATGGAGCTTGCAACCGAGATGTGTGACCTTGACAGGAATTGAACCCTTGACCCTTCAGTCCTCAGGCCAATGCTCTATTCAGTGAGCCAAACCAATTAGGGTGAGCTAGGCTTTATTTTTAATAGATTTTCTAGTTATTGGATTGTCCTTGGAAAGTACTACTTAAATTTTATTTGTTGTTAATCCTCACTTGAGGCTATTTTCTATTGATTTTTAGAGAGAGTGGAAGGGAGGGGAAAAGACAGAGAGAGAGAAACATCACTATGAAAGAGACACATCGATTGGTTGCCTCCCACAGGAGGCCTAACCAGAGCTGTGTATCGAGCATGCCCCACACTGGGGATCGAGCCCGCAATCCTGGCATGTGCCCTTGACCAGAACTGAGCCCGGAACCCTTCAGTCCACAGGCCAATGTTCTATCCACTGAGCCAAACTGGCTAGGGCGGTACATATAATATAATTTTTATTTAGTTGTTGATTGAGAAGCCTGAGAAAGTTAGAAATGCATTTGACCTCACAGCAGGTAGAAATAAAGAGCAATTCTAAAGGCATTAAGGTTCCTCTTAAAACTCTTATCAAGATGGAATGCTCGTCAGAGCTGAGTACAATATTGGTGACTATTTTACCATGGAATGTCTTATTCTTAAGATACAAGCAATCACTAAATATTATCACCCTAGGTGATCATTAGTGTAAAACATACAAATCAGAATGAAGCATGCTTAAAAGTTGAACCTCATTGAAAGTCATCACTAAAAAGGGGAAGGTGGCAGGATTTAGATTGGAGCAGCATTTAAAGTTATATGAAGTATGGACAATAAATTAGTTTTATTAGTAATGTAGTACTAGTAAATTACTAGTAATGTACAGTAACTAGTGGAATTGGGTATTGTGACTTTTTTGTGTTACTGGGTTACATTAGTTAAGTATGACATAAAGATGGCATTTTATCATGAGATAGTGAAAACCTATAAAATGATACAGGGAAAACTTGCTATTGACTTGGAACATTAATAATGTGGACAGGGATCCATTAACAATTCAATTCAATTTTATTTAGACACTGTTTATTTTGTATATTTACTGCTACATTCCATCAGAAAATTTCTTGATGTTTTGAAAAATCATCAAGTAAAATACATTTATTTGAAAAAATTCGAATGTTTAGTCTTTTCGCATGTAAATACTAGTATGCTACACAAAATAGACAGCACAAAACTACCCCAACACAAATTGCTGTATGCACCATTTCTGAAACACATCCCAAATAGAAAAGTGCCTTTACATTGGCTGTAGTGCTTTTAGCTCTAAGGAACAGGAAACAGTAACTTTGTAAAGTGCCAGGTAGGAATTGTCTTAGGCTCGATGGGCCATGAGGTCTATGCTGGGACAACTCAGCTCTGCTCTTGGAATATGAAAGAAGCCACAGGTCAAGCAGAAATGAACGGTTTTTGTATCGGTGTTCTAATAAAACTTCATTAGAGGGACACTGGAATTTGAACATCTCATAACTTTCACATCACAAAACATTCTTTTTTTCAGCTATTTAGAAATGTAAAGCCATTCTTAATTTGCCAGCTGCAAAAATGGGCGTGGGCCAGCTCTAAGTCACTTCTGGGAAAATGTACAAACAAACCAAATGGCTCTACAGCAATCAAGTTTGGGATGAATGTTGGCAGCCAATCCTTTTCTTCAGCATAATTCAAAAAAGACAAATGACAATGATGATAATATCTAACATATAGCTATGTTTCCATCTCAGAAGCTAGTCTAAGTGCATTAAAATAACCCATTTATCCCCAAAGCAATCATAACATAGTATCATTTCTCCTATAAAAGTAAACTGAGGCATCGAGAGGTTGTGTGGCCTGCCCCATGCTGGAATTTGAGCCTTTGCCATGTTGCATCTGCCAGAAATAAACAGGCAAGACAGCACATTTAAGACCCCTACAAAATACAAAACAGATAGCGCTGCACCCTGCTAAAACATCAACAGTAAGGTAGATAACAATTTCTTACATAGACTTATTTGTGGTTACTGTATAGAGGTTTATCAGCTGTTTAAAAAAATAAACTCGGGCTTTTCTTATAAATGTGTCCCTAATGTAAAATGTAGCTCACAGTTGAAAATTTTACAAAAAACATTTTTAACTTCTTTCTGAAGATTAGTTAGTAACAACATACACATTCATTTAAAAATGACAGAAAACAGGAGAACAAGAGGCATTATAATTAAAAAATATACTTAAATACACATTGACAGGAGTCACTGCTGAAACTTAACCACATTCATCACATTTGTAGGGCTTCTCCCCTGTGTGTTTCCTTTGATGTTTAGTAATATCTTTGTGTACATAAAAGCTACTGAACTAAAGTGACATATTTCCCTATGTACAATTTTGGGTTCCACAGGCCCATCAAACACCCACAGGCCGTGTTTTGTAGCGCACTCACACACATAAGTCCCACATACTTCAGGACTCTAGCTGTGTTTAATGATGTTGCCTGATTATTCAATTTATTTGTACTTTTCAAAACCTTAATATATTGAGACAGTTGTAGTTTTCTAAACACACACACACACAAACACACACACACACACACACACACCTTATAGTCAAATCTCTGTGACATGACTTCTGGTACCACTATTTCCCTCCCTATAGTTTCTCTTTGAATTTTCTTGTAAAGCTTTCATATATTTAGAGGTTCTATCCCAGTATCAATAATTCGACATTTGCTGAAACATCACTTTTGATAGAAGTTTCTGTCTCTGTTTCCATCTTTGCAGTCAGCCTCTCTGAGTTTAACTGGGGTAAAAAGACTTCTGAATGATCAGGAATCTGACAGGAGTCTCTCATGTGAGCTTTTGGATGTCTGGTGATGGCTGCCCTAACAGAAAATTTCCTGACATTCATTTTACTTACAGGACTTCTCTTCTGTGTGATTCATATGTTGTACAATAAAGTCTGGCTTCTCAAAGGTTCCCTCATGTTTTGCAGTGTTTCTGTCATCTATGTTGTCTGACATTTAGTCAAGTCTGACATATGGTAAAATTTTCACTTGTAGAATTTCTCTCTGTATTTCCTGTCTGTGAAGGATTGTGGCTAAAGTTCCCCATATTGATGGTATACCTAAAGTTTTTGTCTTGTGTAAATTATCTCATTATTCTTAACGGTACACTCTGCCAGAAGTTCCCAATTTATACTATTTATTAGCTCTTTCTCGGTCTGTGTATCTTTTGATGTGCAGTGAGTTCTGACTTCTGGATAAAAGATTTCTTACACTCTTGACATTCATATGGTTTCTCCCCTGTGTGTTTTCTCTGGTGTATGATAAAATGTGACTTCTGAGAGAATAGTTTCCCACATTCCTTACATTCATAAGGTTTCTCTCCAGTGTGAGTTCTTTGATGTAACCGCAGGACTGAATTCACAGAGAAAGATTTACCACATTCATCACATTTGTAGGGCTTCTCCCCTGTGTGTTTCCTTTGATGTTTAGTAAGGTCAGATTTATAGTAAAAGTGTTTTCCACATTTATTACACTCAAAGGGTTTCTCTCCTGTGTGAGTTCGCTGATGCACTGTGAGGGCTGACTTCTGGTAGAAGCATTTCCCACATTCAGTACATTTATAGGGTTTCTCCCCAGTATGAGTTCTCTGATGAGTTTTGAGATGTGTGTTTCTAGAAAATAATTTCCCACATTCCTTACATTTATAAGGTTTTTCCCCTGTGTGTGATCTTTGATGTACTGTAAGGTGTGATTTCTGGGAAAAGTGTTTTCCGCATTCCTTACATTGAAATGGTTTCTCCCCTGTGTGTGTTTTTTGATGTACCATTAGGTATGCCTTAACATAGAAGAACTTCCCACATTCAGTACATTCATAGGGTTTCTCTCCTGTGTGTGTTTTCTTATGTTCTGTGAGGTGTGGCTTCTGATAGAAGGACTTCCCACACTGATCACATTCATAGGGTTTCTCCCCTGCATGAGTTCTCAAATGTCTACTGAGAGATGACAGGTGGTAGAAAGTTTTCTTACATTCTTGACATTCATAAGCTTTCTCTCTGGTGTTAGTCTTCTCATGTCTTGTGAGGTCTTCATTCCTAGGGACGGATTGCCCATCTTCATTGGGTTTGTCCTTTGAGTGAGTATTCTGATGTACTGTAAGGATAGACTGCTGGTAGAAGGACTTCCCACATTCATTGCATTTATAGGTTTTCTCTTTGGTATGCGTCTTTTGATTTGTGGGTTCTCCAGTCCTAGAGAAAAAATTTCAAATTCATTAATGTGTAAGTCTTTTTTATTTGTCTGCTGTCTATTTTATAGCTGTGTGGTAGGCAGTTAGATAGCCATGAACAGAGTGAGGACAATGGGCCAGGGACAGAAGGTCACCAGGGCAGAAAGCCTCAGGTTTCCAGCAATGAGAAAAACTGGGAAAAGTACCACCTCATCCACAGTGTAACCTTTCCTTTCCTAGCATATCACTCCCTACTCATGTGATTTAAACCTCTTGACCTTTCATTTCTGGTTGTATAGTCCAGATGTTCTCCAGACCTTTCATATCGCTTGTCATGTGATTAGACCTTCCCCTGACCTTTCCTCTCTTAGCATGTTGCTAGTCTTGGGATAGACCCCTTAGAGGAGGAACAAGGGGCCTCATGCAACTCCTATGTGGGCCCTTGCATGATCACTCCCTTAAGCATCAATCCCTGGGGATAACATCTAGCCTCAGTTATATTTTAGCCTGAAGTCCAGAAAAGTAGCAAAACCAGACAAATGATGCCATGGCTGACCTCAGGACCTGCAATGACTAATGACCCGCTGCCTTTGTGCCAACCAATCAGTAGAGACCAGGACCCTCAAATGACACACCTGGAAAGCTTATGAATATTCTATTGGGATCCTCCCGTGAGACCTTCAGATAAACACCCTCAAGATGGATGACCCAGGGTGGCTCCCCCTCTTGGAAGCACACCCAAGCCTTTCCCCTCACCCTCTTCTTCCCATCAGATAAAAGGTACTTTTACCTTTCTCTCTCCTAAGTGCCAAGGGCCCTTGTTTTGCTCCTATAACATGTTTAATTTGTTTCCTGAGCCCATTTATTCCTCATCTGACTTCTGCTTCTGTGACTTTCTAGATACACTTCCTCTTACAGTTTGAGTCTTGGATCTGAATTCTTTCTTAGCCAGAACACAAGTACCGAGGTTGTTAAACTAGGGTCTGGTCTGACTTCACCAGTCTAACACCTGATGCCATTCTCACCACCAAAATAAGAACCAATTTCCACAAAATTCCCCATATTAATTAGATTCATAGGGTTTCTACACTATAAATGCTCTCTGACATACACTGTGGTTTACTGTTTGATAGAAGAACCTTCACTTGCATTATATTCATAGGATCTCTCTACTTAACTCTACCTTGTATAATAAAACCTCCCTGATTGTGTAACTCTGAAGAATCAGAAGACTGCTTCAATAATTGTGCTCCCTGATCTTGAATAAGGTCTCCATTATGAAAAAGGGCTTTCTCATTTGCATTAAGTTCTTTGCAATTTGCTCCAATGTTAGTTTTCTCACATGTAGTATTAACTAGGACAGTCCCAATTCCAGTACCCTCATCTAGACCCTTTCCTATAAAACTTGTAATTTTAAAACTGAATTCTTGAACTTGCCTTGACTTTTCAGCTTTGCTTTCCTGGTGTCTTTCTTCTGACTCATGAATCTTCCATAGGTCTATAAAGGAATTTAACATTTAATACCATGTAAATCTTAAACAATAGCATGGTTATAGGGTTGGGTTGATTCTTAGGCTTCAAGTCAATCTCTGTAAATGAAGGAACTCTCAAATGTCAATTTCCTCTATGTCATTGGTTTAAAAAATAATAAACACTAAAAACTGCGATATCAGAAAGGAGAAGGAATGTGGTTATAAACCCAAGCACCACTGACACTTTACAAATAATGACCTTAAAAACTTGGAGGATGCCATAGCCGATTTGGCTCAGTGAATAGAGTGTCAGCCTGCAGACCAAAGGGTCCCCAGCTTGATTCTGTTCAAGGGCATGTATCTCAGTTGCAGGCTCCTCCCAGCCTAGTCAGGGCTCATGCAGGAGGCAACCAATCTATGTTATTTCTCTCACATCAACAATCTTTCGCTCCTCTTCCACTCTCTCTAAAAATCAATGGAAAAATATCCTCGAGTGAGGATTAAAAACAAACAAACAAAAAAACAAAACAACAACAAACAAACAAAAAAACATTGGAGGAGAAAATTAAGACCAAAAAAAAAAAAAAAAAAAAAAAAGAACAGGGAGAGAGAATAAAAATACTTAAAGTATTACTTAGCAGGAATGTGAGATTCATAGAGAATTCTGTGAGCTCATGAAGGACAAGTAACAGTAAGTAAGGGTGCTAAAAATCAATACACAATCATGTTCACTGGAAACATTGGGGCAAAGATTAAATTGGATGAAGGAGCTAAATACATAGGTTATTTTATCTGTTCACACCTAGTATATTGTGTTAGGATTCCTAGTACAATAGTTAGCAGACTATAAACTTCTACTTTCTTTCCTCTTTACCTGTACACAACAATCTAGTTGTCAACACTAAAGTGACTTGTTCAGAACATCAATTTCCTCGTGTTCAGAGGAACAGTCCTATAGCTTAGACTTAATTTTCACTAGGACAGAGGACTAAGAAAAGTATATGTCCAAAAGGAAAGATTTTTTTTAAAAGCAGAGCATATATCACCCATATAGCAGGAACAATTCCCAGTTATAACACCAGCTGTGCTCACCCTGACCACTAAATACTGCATCTCCAAAGCAATATTACCTATGACTCAATAACGGTTTTATTCTACTTTCATATCTTAGCTCTCACATCTCTGCTCCAATTTACTGCATTGTCTTTAGATTAATGGTTCAACATCATTCTAGAACACTTACTGATCTTCAGCATTCATGTTTAAATGCTTAACAGAAAGACAAAGATTATGAGCAGAGGCTTGTGGTTGGGAGTGCATGGCATTTGTAGGGGAAATATAAAAGTTATTTGACAGGGACTTTGCAAGGTTAACTTGGATATACATGAAATAAGATTCTATTTATGAAAGATACTTCATAGAGTAACTGAAGTAATGATTAGCATGTGTTTGGGGAGTCATGAGGAGAAACAAGATGTAGTAGGCCAGAAAGAGCTAGACTAGTTCCTGACAGAATATTAACTTAGCTGTATCTGGTAATCGTGAGCCAGTATAAGTTTACCATGATAGACTAGCAGCAATGTATGTTTGCAGCATTACACAACTACTATGAGCATTTAAATTAAAAATTAGCTTTCAACACTGATAAGGCATTTAGATCAGTGGATCTATCCTATAGGATGGTAAAATATGATACCAAAATACAAATAAAATAAAGGTGCTGGAGACATCAATTTTAGGAGTTCTCAGCCTAAAAAACAAAGCATTGGTCTAGAAAAGTGAAGCCCTGGTAGAAGTTACTACACAGGGCAGAGGACAGAGTGTGTCTCATGTTAACTGAAACAGAATCTTTCAAAAAATATCTAGTGAACAACTAACATACATGGGAAGGCATTTGTTGTTAATAAAAGGAGGGAAATGGCATTTGAAAAAATGTATAAGCCAGAGTCATAAACTCTTTAGGATTGATTATAGCTGCATACTTCGATGGCAGAGAGTAATCGAATTCTAGAAAAAAAAGTTTAAGTCAAGGTTAGTATATAGGAAAGATAGGTAAACATAAAAATGTTGAACTCAGGGGTGAATTTCAGTGAAGAGAATGAAAATTGGAGGTGTGATTTGTGTTGCTTACATATGCTGATCAAGCATCCTCATTCATTTTTAGATCTCTAAGGCACTTAAAAAAATGATTCCTGAAAAATAATTCAAAAGGCAAAGGCACCAACAACCTCAATACCAATCACCAGGGCTCTGACTGCTCACTCACCAGTGTAGTTCTGAAGCGGAAACTCTACTTCTAATATCCATGGCTCCTTTCCTTGCTTCAACTTCAAAACTGCATTTGACTTATTCACAAAATAACCTATGAGTGAAAGAGATAGAGAAAACAGAACTTGCTTGGAATTTAGGGTCTCTGAAGAACCAAAAGTAGTTTTCGGAGCAGAACAATGAAGGTCCTCCTAAGCTTGGTAAGGTTAGATTTTTTTCAATTGAGAGGGTGGAGACACAAATATTATTTCTGGTACCCAAAATGGACTCATCAACTTTGACCCCTGAAAAATATTAGTATTATTCAAACCTACAGATACCTTACATGTTCCACAGCTGGGAAAGAAAATGCAAATTACTAGGAGTCACAGAGGGGGGACTTTTTCTCACCCACTGCGACGAGGTGACGGTAGTTCTCCCGCATCACTTCCTTGTACAGGGCCTTCTGTCCTTCGTCCAGTAATTTCCACTCCTCCTTGGTGAATTCCACAATGACATCCTTGAATGTTACTGATCCCTGTAACAACATATTTCAGCTCTATTTTGAAGTGATCAGAATAAAGCAATATTGAAAAGACATGTAAACTAGCTTTTAATGTGCTAACTATAGAATTTACCCTGGCAAGTTAAGATACACTGCTACTCTGTACCCTGCTTTACACATAGACAAAGTATTTGTTCACTATATAGTTACTGAGATATCATTGGAAGCGTGGATCTCTGCTGGAGATACAACGATGAATGAAAACAACTATTTCTGTTATCCTGACAGGGAGGCAAAGATGTAAATTCTTTTTTTTTTTTTTAATCCTCACCTGAGGATACTTTTCGATTGATATTCAGAGAGAGTGGAAGAGAGGGAAAGACTGAGGGAAACAATGATATGAGAGAGAGACATTGATTGGTTACTTCCAGCATGAGCCCCAACCAGGGCCAGGGCCAGGGCCAGGGCCAGGGCCAGGGCCAGGGCCAGGGAAGAGCTTCCAACCAAGATACATGCCCTTGACCAAAATTGAACCCAGGACCCTACAGTTCGCAGGCCGACACTCTATCCCCTGAGCCAACTGGCGAGGGCAAAATGTAAATTCTAATATACAATATGCACAGCAGGTAGATGTATACAAGATGTAAGATCGTCACAAATAGGAAAAGTTGTTTTGTATTTTGTATTATCAAGTTAGATCTTATTAGGTGGTCCAACTGACTATGCAAACTTCAGGAATTAAGAAATCAGAACTGGCAAAGGCATATATGCATTAAAAATGGCAAATTTAGGAAACTACAAGTAAGAAAGTATAATGAGAACATAGTGTAGGACCAAAATTAGTTATGTGACAGTCAAATCAGGTTACAAAACATGGAGTAATTCTGAATTTGTCTTTTGAGACATTAAAATAGATTTTGCATACCCAATTAATGTCTTATACATCACATATTTACATCTATTCATTTGTTTACTAAAGTTGACAAGTTTTCTTTTTCATATTTATAGGAAAGAAAAGTATTGCCCTACCAGATTTGGCTCAGTGGATAGAGCCTCAGCCTGTGGACTGAAGGGTCCCAGGTTTGATTCCAGTTAAGGGCACATTCCCAGATTGTGAGCTCAATCCCCAGGAGGGGTCGTGCAAGAGGCAGCTGATTAATGATTCTCTCTCATCATTGATGTTCCTAACTCTCTCTCCCTTTCCCTTCCCATCTGAAATCAATAAAAATATATCTAAAAAATAAAAAAATTAAAGCATGTGCAATTAAAATAATATGAATCAATGTTCTGCTATTTCACACTATGTGGACTGTCTCATACTTCTTTGGGATGTTCACTCTTTTGCTTTGTAGATGCAAATACGGATAATGGGAAACCACTGAAAAGATAGATGTAACCACTAGAGTTATGAGAGATTAGTAGTTTAGAATAAAACTAAAATAGAAGAGGCAAATGGCACATCAGAAAGATGGAGTGTTAGAAAATTTAGAGACACATGTAAACAACAAACATTTACATTCAAGTAGCAGTACTTGGGGGAAGAAGCATAATGCATCTTTGTGACTAATTGGAAATTAATAACTACGGGGAGACAGGGGGAGGGTAACTCATATACTAGTAGTGTCTATATGGTTTGGAAATGGCTAAAGCCATAATGCTAATTATTTTCATTCTTGAGTTTTTAATGATAGAACTATTTGAGGCTGTACAAATTCCTCTGATATTATTTATATTCCATAGAATCTTAAATGTAATATTTAAAAAATATTTTAATTGATTTCAGGGAGGAAAGGAGAGAGAAACATCAATGATGAGAAAGAATCATTGATTAGCTGCCTCCTGCACACCCCAATGTGATCAAGTCTGCAACTATGGGGCAGATTCCCTGACTAGGAATTGAACCATGACAGATGCCTTGACCAGGAATTGAACCATGACCTCCTGGTTCATAGGTCAACACTCACCCACTGAGCCATGCCAGTCGGGCCAAATATTTTTTAATGAACTAATAAATAAAATCAAAACTCAATGTTTTCTACAAATTTATAACTTCCTACATATTCTAGCTCCTTTTATCTCTTTGATTTTACCTCTTATCTTGCTTCCCCTAAGTTACCTCTCTCTTGCTTTGAAGTCCCAAATACTGTTTCTGAAACATGCCTTGGGGTTGCATGTACTTGCTATTGCTCCTATCTAGAATGCTCTTCTGCTATATTTTTTCTTGGCTCCCTGTCTCATTTAATTCAGAACTTTCCTCGAATATTAACTTTTAGAGTGGGCATTCCCTAGCCAACTTACTCCCTGTTCCTCACTTCACTACATCCCTCTGTCTTCTTAAACTGCTTGAGTTTGCCTCTGAGCACACAAGTCAGAAATACCAATCAAATGTTGATTGATATAATTAATCATTATATAATAAACATTATTATATTGTTCTAGGGGCCTGGTGCATGAATTCGTACACATTGAAAGGAACTGTGAGCTGTATGGCTGTGGTGGACACAGGGGCGGGTCTTGGCTCATTCTCTGTGCCTCCACCTGGCCCCTTCTGCTGTAGCCCCCAGTCCTGTCTGCCTGAAGTGGGTGTGAGCAGGGGGAGGTGGAGAAGCCCTGAGGGTCAACTGAGGCCTGCCAGCAGCCCCCACCCTGCTCCCTCAGCACTTGGGAGCAGTAGCCCCATCCCTGCTGCTGCTGCTGCCAGTTGCTGTCTTTGGGGCAATTGGTGCTGGGCCAGCGCTGGCAGCAGTTGCAAGCACCAGGTGGTACAACAGCACACAGTGCTGACACCCTCCATGTTCCACGTGTGCCTCCTAATGGTCAGCACATGTCATAGCGAGAGATCAAACTCCTGGTCAAGAGCCTGCCTGATGGGATAATTTGCATATTAGGCTTTTATATATATAGATAGTGTGTTATCTTTTCTAATATTACATACTGTATATAAGTGTATAATACCACATTTGTTAGTATCCTCACCAATCTCATCAGAAAAGTCTTTAAGCATTAGAAGTTGTCAAGTTCATAGTGAGGGATACAAGTTTTCCAAAATTCTCATTTTCACTTAAAGCTTAAATTTAACATTGGAAACAAATAGAGACAAATGTTTTCAGTGACAGGCTCACTTCACTCACTTTTGAGAAAATGTTTGTTACATACCCGTCTGAATAACCAGGCTGCCTGCCATGTGCTCTTCCAAGGAAAAATAGCATTCCATGAAAAAAAATGGCTAGGTGAGCTCACAAATCAAGCAGCCCCACAGTGCTTTTCCCCCCTCAAGACAACCAACCTTCATAGTCCAGGTGCAGCAGAAGTATTTTATGTGAACTTCCTATTTCGTCTCCCTGAATGTTAAAAAGATGTGTACCCAAGGGTCAAAATTTAATAAAACTGATTTTGATGATTTCATTGAAGATATCGGTAAGTAAAGGTGAGTACACTGCAGAGGGATGCAATGGCATTGGTGTCCCTCTCTTAATTCATGCCAACCAGGCAGCAATCTCCTCACCACAGGTGCGAATGTCAACAGTGTAAATTGGATTTTGCTTTTTAATAATACATGTTCACTCACAGATCCCTTGAAAAGGCCTTGGGAACTGCTGTGCTAGTCAAACAGTATTTTCCCTAAAGGTGATTTTAAACTATTTACGTTTTAAATTTAATAAAAGGATCCTATTTCATAAAAATAATTGAACACACACACACAGTGAAACAAAGTAAGGACTAAGTAAATGACTCACCTGGGGTTTGTCCATTTTTGGCTGCTTTAGGGAAGGGACAAAAACTAGGCAGCCAGAATAAGGAATGTTGTAAGACAGAAGTCATGAGACATATCTTGCAGCTCAGGAATGACCTGTCAGAAGTTTCCAGACAACAGTTTAGTAAAAAGTAAGCCTCTGGAAAACATTCCTTGGAACCATGAAAAGGAATAGGAGGGGCCATGATAAAGGAATACCCATCTGTCCACTGGTGACTCTGAAAAAAATCTTGATAACCTTGGGACATTTTCGAGTGAATTTAAACATTTCTTTCCTACTGACTGCTTTGAAAATCATGTGTCTATTTACCAAATACCACAAAAGAATTGAAAACATAAACATCCAATATTAGATTAGCTAAGCAAGGTGCATAATATATATCCAAAGCATGGACCCCTGTGTTGGTATTACAAATGACGATGAAGGAAATATTTGATATGGAAAAGTGTTTACATTACAGGTCATAACGATTTTTTTTCTATTACTACTATAAACCCCACAAGTTCAGAAAGTCTTCAAAGGGTCTCAAAAATAAGATGTTTCTTCTCCCTAAATTGCAGTTTCTTAAAAATCACTTCTCCAAGAACCTTGTGCTGACTTAACTGTAGCGGACCTGGAGGTTCTGGCCCACGCTGGGCTCTGCTATTAACAAACCCAGGGACTGCCTTATTTTCAACGCCATTATCTTTAACGTGAAGGAGAAGCAGATAATTTTGAACAACCCTCCATGTACTGTTCTGATTCTGTAAGTCTTGACCCAGAGCCACAGATCCAGACAGTCCCTCCAAACGTGGGCTGGGCCTGGGGTAAGGTTTAATTAGGCAGTAATGAATCCTGACAAGGCCATCTAATGTGTTGACAATGACGCACATCTAACTTCTAAAATAACCATTTGGTCCCATCATCCGCAACGAGGTACTTTAGTATAACAGCAAAAGGTACCAGACGCCAGGACGCTGGCATCTTTCCCCGTGTGCAGCGGGAACCCCCTCCCGCGGGCCTGGTGCTTGGCGGGCGCTCCGTGAGCCAGATGCACAGCCAATGGCAGGCAGGTGACATCACTTCCATACCATGGAGCAAGATGAAACCGCATTTTCATCTTTTAACAATGTCTGCCTCACTTCCCCTCCCGACGGGGTAGGATTTGCAGCTTCTCCCATAAAACCTAAACGTCAGAGCTCCAGTTATGGTTTCCACGTACATGTTTTAACAGCTTTGTAAGAACAGGGACGGGTAGGGGAAAGCAGCTACAAAGTTTTGGCACAAGAATTCCCAGGAAGCCCCACAAGGGCTGTAAATGGAACACTGCAAGGTAAATTAGGTTGTCCTAATCCACTACCCGCTGGTTAAGTGCTGGGACAACCGCTGTGCCCAACGCAAATGTTAGTGAGGGACACAGCATGAGCCAAAGAGCAAACAATAGAACGCAAAGCCCATGGTCAAGGCTGCGCAAACAATGGCTCTCCCGAACCGTTAGCGCTGGGGTTTGTTGAAATGGAGGGGACTGATAGCGATGGGAAAGGATGGGTATGAGGATGGAGATGATGGAATGAGCCAACCATGAAAAGAGCGGCACCCCCGGTGATAACAAAAGCAGCCCGTCGTTACCGAGTCATCACACTAAGCCTTGCAAAACAGCCGGGAGGCTGGTACCGCCAGCTCACAGACGCGAGCTCATCGTCCCGAGACGAACTTGCCCGTGACCGCGGGCGCCGGGCTGGGGCTCAGACCCCCGCGCGGGGCCGCGATGGCTCTGCCTTCCCGCCTGCACCCCGCTCCGCCCGACCCGGCCTCCCGGTCCCGCCGCCCCGGCCCGATGAGCGGACACCGGCCTCCCCGGCCCTGCGGCTCCCCACGGCGCCCTCGGAGGCAGCGCGCAGCGGGGCGGGCGGGGAGGGGGATGCGGAGGGAGGAGCGGCGGCCCTGGTTCTGGCCCCGCGCCCCGCGGAGAGGCCGCCCGCCCGGCCTTGACGGCCAGCCAGGCCCGGACGCACCTGGCGCTCCCTCCTCCGCAGATGCCGCCGACAGCCGGGCCGGAGCCGGGGTCCCCGCGGCGCCACGGAGGATGGCGATGCCAAGCTGAGGGTCCGAGTGCGCAGGAGCCGCCCAGCCAGAGTCCACTCGGACCCGCGGCCTCCGCGCCTCCAGCGACTCCCCTCCGGGTGACGTCAGGGCCTGGCGTGCGGGGCCTGAGCGTCTGCAGCTGCGGCGGGTTTCTAGGGGCCGGGCCTCCTTCCTGTCCACTGACAGCTGCTGACAACTCAGCCCAGGCGGGTTGGCCGTCAAACACTGCTGTGCGCTGACCATTAGACTGCCCGCCCGCTGACCATTAGCACTGCCCTGCGCTGACCATTACACTGCCCGCCCGCTGGCCATTAGCACTGCCCTGCGCTGACCATTACACTGCCCGCCCGCTGACCATTAGCACTGCCCTGCGCTGACCATTACACTGCCCGCCCGCTGGCCATTAGCACTGCCCCTGCGCTGACCATTAGTTCTGCCTGCCCGCTGACCATTAGACTGCCCGCCCACTGACCATTAGCACTGCCCACGGTCCTCCAGTCCATGTTGGAACTGCCCGTGGCCATGTGGTGCCTGTTAGAACCGCCTGGGGCTCTGCAGTGAATATTCGTAGCTAAACAAAGAACTTGGAACCAAGTGTATCACATTCCAAGAATAATATCTTATAGCAGCTGGCTTTGTCTTAGGACTGCTAGCTTTCAAAATTATCCAAATGATACTGCACACTTGTAATAAAGAAAAGCTTTGGATAAGCTAAAAAACACAAGCCACTTACAAAGAGGGGGAAAAAAACGCTTAATTAGGTGTACACTCTTTTCAGATTTTTACTAGTTTTATCCCAATGGTATACTAAAGTATTTCGACTGTCATTTCACTAAGGACCATATGCTGATTTCCTAGTCAGTAACTTTATGACATCAATTTACTCTTGTGTGATCAGTAGACATGAGTTTCCATTCAAAGTAGTTACAAAAATATTAAGTTTTTATAATAAAATGAATTTTAAAACAATTTATAAAGAGGAAATATGTGCATACATTTGAGTGTGTGTATACATGTACAGGGTGGGGCAAAAGTAGGCTCACAGTTGTAACCACAGGAAACAGTTTATTTTTGTATTATTATTTGTAAATTATTGCATTTTTTTCCATACAAACAACTACTTTTGCCCCACCCTGTATATGTATGCGCTGGTGCAGACTCACACACACACACACACACACACACACACACACACACACCAGTTTCTAGATGAGAGGTATTGGGGAAATAATTAAAAATGTCTCTTGTCAACCCAAAATATCCTCTTCACAGATGGAGAAAATAAGAAAAGTTTTTTAAAAAATATATTTTATTGATTTTTTACAGAGAAGAAGGGAGAGAGCTAGAGAGCTAGAAACATAGACGAGAGAGAAACATCGACCAGCTGCCTCTTGCACACCCCCTACTAGGGATGTGCCCACAACCAATGTACATGCCCTCTACCGGAATCAAACCTGGGACCTCTCAGTCTGCAGACAGACGCTCTACCACTGAGCCAAACTGGCTTCGGCAAGAAAAGTTTTTATTATTGAATAAGCATTAAAGGAAACTGTGATAGGCATCCCAGGTCATCTGCTAATGAATTTGCAAAGACAGAATTATATAGTCAGGTATATATTTATAATAATAAAAGCATAATATGCTAATTAGACTGGACAGCCGAACTATCTTCCAGACATCATTCTCGACATCCTTTCGGATGAAGCCTCGGCGGCTGGGGCCGAGCAGAGGTGGTTAGGGGTTGGTCAGGCAGGCAGGCAGGCAAACAGGGGTGATCAGACAGACAGGCAGAGGCGGTTAGGGGCAATGAGCCAGCTATCCTGGATTACGAGAGAGATTTCCGACTGCCACAGGGATTGGGCCTGAACCAGCAGTCAGACACCCCCTGAGGGGTCCCAGATTGTGAGAGGGTGCAGGCCTGGCTGAGGGGACCCTCCCTCCCTCCATGCACAAATGTTGTGCACCGGGCCTCTAAAATATATATATATATATATCTCCCATTCAAGAGGACGGTCCATTTGCTACACATAGTTCACTTTAAATCCATCTGGTAAACAGAGTGATTATCTCTGCTATGTACATATCAAAGACATAGCTTCAAGGCCTTTAGAAGGAGGTTTACTGAGGCTGTAAAAATAATCAGGCTTATTCACTTTTTAAAAGATTTACATACATATGAAAAGGACAAAGAAAATATTTACTATTTTCTCAAGGAAGTACTCTAAGAAAAGAGAGGAGCCATGGTCTTTTCCCCTTTTGCACCAGGAAAAATTCTATTGTTTTATATTTTAATTTACTGTTACAGAAAATTCTATAAAATTTAATTTCAATCAAAATCACAATAAAAAGTTTTGATGAAGAGTTTGGTTTTGTTCTACTTGACAAATAATTTTAACCTTACCAGAAAATGTCTAACCTTAAAGAATAATACATATTCTTTTGGGGATGTTAAATAAAGAACTTGAAACCAGGTACTTTGTCACCAATGTGTATAATCACAAATGTGTAAATTATGTCACAAATGTGTATAATTATAAAAATAACTTAAAAGTGTGGTGCTGGCTTCCAAAAAGAACAGAAACAGATCTAAATATACATAAGAGTTCAATATTTGTTAAAATTGTCATTTCAAGCAATGGAGATAATATATAACATTCAGTTGTTTATGTAAGTAATGTCCAGGCCTGTAGAGAATTTTTATGCGTTTGTATGACTCAAGCTGATAATTTCCAGGAAGCAAAATTGTAATGGGTTGAGAAAATGCTCCGGAGAATGGCAATTTTACAGCTAATCTTAAACATTAAAATCAAAGGAAGAGACCTAAGGAGAATTGCATGAAACCCATTGGTGGTAGACTAGGGAGGCAGGAGAAAGCCAGGCAGGGAATCCTCTGAGACTGAATAAGAGCAAAACGGAGAGACACACTCCTTTTACATGGCGGTATAGGCTAGTTAACATTTACCAGCACATACAGATGGCATACAGGGGACGAAATGACAATGTATGATAGGTTTCATCGAAGAATTGTTAGTGGGAGTCGAGTCCTTGGGCACCACTGGAATAAGAATTTTCAGAGCCCCCGACGGGAGAATGAGATGTGGCACAAAATAAACCAACAACAAAAAGTGTAGCCCCAATAAATTCAACTACAAAAAAGAAATGTATTGCTTACTTTCAACACGTTTTTAGATTTTGCAGCTTTCTTGCTCATTTCCATTGTGATACCTTTGTGTTCAGAAAAGACCCTTGGCCTGATTTCAGCCTTTTCAGATTTGCTGACTTGCTCTCTGTCCTCTCATGTGCTCTCTGCTGGGGGAAGTTCTGTGTGCATTTGAGAAGAATGTGTGTTCTTCTGCTGGTGAATAGAATGTCCTGTAAGTCCTTCTGGTCCAATGTATGTCACAAGTCCAACTTTCCCTTCTTGGTTTTCTGTCTGATGGTTCATCCTTGCTGAAAGTAGAGTACTGAACTTCCCTACCATTATTGTGTTGCCTATTCTCTCTTCAGATTTTTTTGTATTGGCATAATGTGTCTGGAGACTCTGATTTTGGGTGCACATAGATTTGGAATTATATCTTCTTGATGAATCGATCCTTTACTATGATATAATCTTGTGTGTTTGTTACCATTTTTGGTTAATGTCTATTCTGTTTGATATAAATATAGCACTTCCTGTTTTCTTTTGATGTCCATTT